AGGTGAAAATATATATAGTGATTTTCTGCCTTTAAAAAATTTTTTTTAATGTTCATTTGTTTTTGAGACAGAGAGAGACAGTGCGAGCAGGGGTGGGGTAGAGAGAGAGGGAGACACAGAATCCGAAGCAGGCTCCAGGTTCTGAGCTGTCAGCACAGAGCCCTATGCGGGACTTGAACCCACAAAACACAAGACCATGACCAGAGCTGAAGTCAGATGCCTAACAGCCTGAGCCACCCAGGTGCCCACCCCCCCTTTTTTTAAGTACGCTTCACACTCTGCATGGAGCTCATTGTGAGGTCTTGAACTCACGACCCTGAGATCAAGACCTAAGGTGAGATCAAGAGTTGGATGTTTAACTGACCGAGCCACCCAGACACCCTGATTTTTTGCCTTTCTGATACTTATCCTATTTTTCTTATCTAAGTGATCCAAACAAATAATTGACATGGACTTACTGAAAAAAAAAGTTTTTCTTCTGTCTTGCCATGAAATTTTTACTATTACAGGGGTGCTTGGGTGGCTCAGTCAGTTGAACATCCAACTCGGGTCATGATCTCACAGCTCGTGAGTTCCAGCCCCGCGTCAGTCTCTGTGCTGACAGGTCAGAGCCTGGAGCTGTATGTATATATGTATGTATACATACATATACATATATGTATATATTTGTATATATACATATACATATATACACATATGTATATATTTAAGCTCTTCTTTATCTGTTCATGTATTGGTGGATACTTGGGCTGCTTCCATAATTTGGCTATTATAAATAATGTTGCAATAAGCATAGGGGTGCTTATCAAACTTTTCAAATTAGTGTTTTTCATATTCTTTGTAGAATTAATTTCTACATTAATTGCACTCATTAATGCAAGTAGTGGATTATACTGTAATTCTTTTTCTCCTCCTCTTTTTAAAATGTTTTTTTATTTTGAGAGAGAGAGGGAGAGATAGAATCCCAAGCAGACTATACACTGTCAGTGTGGAGCCTGAAGTGGGGCTCAATCCCACAAACCATGAGATCATGACCTGAGCTGAAATCAAGACTGAGCTACCTAGGCGCCCCTCATATGGTGATTCTATTTTTAATTTTTTGAAGAAACTTCATACTGTTTTCAATAGTGGCTATACCAGTTTGCATTCCCAACAACAGTGCACAGCAGTTCTTTTTTTTCCCCACATCTTCAACCTTGTTGTTTCCTGTGTTTTTGATTTTAGCCATTCTGACGGGTGTGACATGATATCTCATTGTAGTTTTGATTTGCATTTCTCTGATGATGAGTGACATCGAGCATCTTTTTGTGTGTCTGTTGGCCATCTATATGTCTTCTTTGGAGAAATGTCTGTTCATGTCTTCTGCCCACTTTTGAATTGGATTATTTGGCTTTTTGGTGTTGAGTGTTATAAATTCTTTATATATTTTGGATACTAACCCTTTAACAGATATAGCATTTGCAAATATCTTCTTCCATTTAGTAGGTACCTTTTAATTTTGTTGGTTATTTCCTTCACTGAACAGAAGCTTTTTATTTTGATGTGGTCCCAATAGTTTATTTTTGTTTTTGTTCCTCTTGCCTCAGGAGACATATCTAGAAAAATGTTGCTATGGCTGATGTCAGAGAAATTACTGCCTGTGCTCTCTGCTGCGATTTTTATGGTTTCAGGTCTCACATTTAGGTCCTTGGTCCATTTTGAGTCTATTTTTGGGCATGGCATAAGAAAGTGGTCCAGTTTCATTGTTTTGCATGTAGCTGCCCAGTGTTTTCAATGCCATTTGTTGAAGAGACTGTCTTTTTCCTATTGCACGATCTTTCCTCCTTTGTTGAAGGTTAACATAATAAAATAATTGTGGTTTTACTGCTGCATTCTCTATTCTGTTCTTTTGATCCATATGTCTATTTTGGTGCCAGTATCATACTGTTTTGGTTTCTATAGCTTTGTAGAATATCTCAAAATCTGGGATGGTGATACCTCCAGTTTTGTTCTTCTTTTTCAAGACTGCTTTGGCTCTTTGGGGTCTTTTGTGGTTCTATGCAAATCTTAGGATTATTTGTTCTAGTTCTGTGAAAAATGCTTTTGGTACTTTGATAGGAATTGCATTAAATCTGTGGATCGTTTTGAGTAGTATGAACATTTTAACAATATTTGTTCTTCAAAAAATGGGCAAAGGGCTTTGAACAGATACTTCATGAAAGGAGATACACACAGATGGCAGATAAACACATGAATGTGTGTTCAACATCATCAGTAATTATGGTGTTGCAAATTCAAACACAATAAGATAATACCACATGCCTCTTAGAATGGCTAAAAACCCAAGCCAAGCCAACCCAACCCAACTAAACCCAAACTAAAACAAAACAAAACAAAACAAAACCTGAAATGCTCAATGCTGATGAGGCTATGGAGCCACTGGAACTCCCATACATTGCCGGTAGGATGCAAAATGGTGCAGCCACTTTGGAAAACAGTGTGGAGTTTTCTTACAAAGATAAACACACACCGTATGACCCAGTAATTCTAGGTATTTACCCAAGAGAAATGAAAACTGAAATTCACGTGAAAAAAAAATGGTACATGAGTATTTGTTGCAGCTTTATTCACAATCATCAAATACCGGAAACCAAAATGTCCATCAACAATTGAATGGATATGGGGCGCCTGGGTAGCTCAGTTGGTTGAGCGTCCGAGTTCGGCTCAGGTCACGATCTTGCGGTCTGTGAGTTCGAGCCCCGCATCGGGTTCTGTGCTGACAGCTCAGAGCCTGGAGCCTGCTTCGGATTCTGTGTCTCCCTCTCTCTCTGACCCTCCCCTGCTCATGCTCTATCTCTGTCTGTCAAAAATAAATAAAACATTAAAAAAATTAAAAAAAAAAACCCAACTGAATGGATAA